AGGTAGGGTCTAAACTTTCCTACATTGGTCAAGTTTTGTTTATTTCACCAGTTTAGTGGGCGTAGTGAGAGATGTGAGTGGTTAGGTCTTGTCTGGCCAGGCGGATGGATACCATGGAAAATGTAGGTCAAACTCAAAGTTGAGGTTTGTTACTATCATCAGCTGTGGCGGGAATTTGAGCTGGTCAACCCCCTGTTTCCTTTCTATTTTTGGGAATCAGACCCTTGTTGCTACCTGGTGCAGAAATAATTTTGAGATTGAAGATTTTGAGATTATTAACATATGGGCAAGTACTTTCATGAGGTGTTGAAATAGTGTATTTAAGCAAATTGTGTTCCTATGGCAAGATCTAATAGTACTGTCTGCCCTATAGACAATGTATAGGTGGTGTTTGTGGTTGTTGCTGTATCGTGGTGGCCTGGAGGATAAACAGCTTAAGGCTCTTGAAGAAAATTAGATTGTTCTCCAACTCAAAAATGAAATTAACTCACCAGAAATTTTCGACTGAATCGCTTAGTCTTCATCAGCTTTATGACCCAAGTGCTGTGGACACGTGAACAGTTTGATTTTCTTCATGTATTTTGCCAACTCATATAAACTTTCATGCTTAGGCCCTGATTTTCTGTGACATACAAAATGAAATGTATTTTATGTTAGCATCAAATATATTTATCTGCCAATATTTAGTTACACATTGAGCATAACAAGTCTTTGATTGCCAGGTTCTTCAAAGTTACTTTTCGTTTCCATGATTTTGATTTATGTTGAGTTGAATTGAGTTGAGTTGAGTTGTAGAAAAGGTTTTGATAATTTTTTTTACCGCTTTAACATCATTTTTCCCCGAACCGGGGGTTAGACGTGCTTGTTAGATTTGTTTGATTTTGATTTTCTGCATGTTGATTTTAATTTTTATTTTGCCAGAGACTGTGCTTGCCTCTTGTTCAGACGATACCAGTGATCAGTGTGATCGTGACAAGCCATCCAAGTCCACACGAGGTACAAACAGGGTTAATTGAAGAGTTCTTTATTGCAAGCTTATGCCCGAGGGCCAATTGCAAACAGACATTGACAAGAACAATGAGCACAATATGTGGTGATTCAAAACTATATGCTAACATGGAGTTCTTGGACCCATAGTAGTTTTCTTTGAAAATGAAACAAAATTAGTTTTTGCTGAATGTTCTACTTATTTTATCTTGTATGGTGAACCCAGAAAATTTTTAGGTTGGGTGAACCAGTGCCCAAGAACCTATTCCCAAAAATGAATTTTGGGCCCTGCCTATGCATGGTTTTGAATACAACACAGTTTCATCAGTTTCCCCTGTGTCAGTTACAGGAGTGAATGCACCGGTGTCTAAGAAAGTTCCCATGGCCAACAAGAGTTCCACCCCTGCCTCCGAGCCAGCAGGGTGCACAGTTACGGAGGGGGTGGCAGCAGCAAAAGTCACAGCCCCCCAGCCCGCTCAGGAAAAAGTCTCTCCAGTCAACGGCTAACAGGGAAAACAGGGTAAGAACAATTATGAAATAAGAGACTGAACTTTAACTTCCAACACTAGATATGGAATTGGGACTTACCCCAAATTTTTGGTTGACTCCATCAACCTTGTTCACGGAATGGACCCGTCTACTCTTAAATTTTGAATGTCAAACTCGGACCCAAAAAAAAGATGTGACAATGTTAAATCATTAACTTAAAGGAAGCAGTTGCAATTCAAGTTCAATCACTGAATATCTGTGACTAGGTGAGAAATGTACAGAGAAGTAGTGTTAAAATTGGTACGCATGTATGTGCATGTGTGTCTGCCCTCTAGATCAGCATACACTACAAGTACGAGTTTCTGGTACAAGCCCTATGATTTGTATGAATTTCTTGCATCTGCATCAATGTCTACTCGCATCCTTCAGTACTCCAAATACATGTACCAGAAATCCGTTCCTGCAAGATCACATCATTAGGGAAAAGCTATGGCTGCTGAATCCGCCAATTATATTGATTTGCTGCTGCCCGTCTGGGTTCCTGCCAGAAGCTTTTATTGACTTTTACAGGTCGGTAAAGGTCATCCTGGTGCCCTGCTACGTCTACGCGTAGTTATTCAAAACTGTAAAATGCACCATTTCTGATCTCCTAACCTTCAACGCTCCTCCCTATAAATAACAAGCAGAGCATGTATCTAGTATCTACCATTTAGATGAGTCACAAATATAAAGCTGTGTATACAGTACAAGTGGGTATTTCTCTCTCTCTATATATATATATAGTATAGTGCCTTAGTCCTAATTACTCAACTTTTGGGGCACCACAGATGATCTGACATCCAGTTTATTTTTTTTTCTCCCTTCTTGGTTTTCTGTTCCACTCAACACTTTACTTACTTACATTGTAGTGTCAGGTTGGTCCATTCTCTGATATTATCCTCCCATTTTTTCCGCTGCCTACCCCTGATATTGCTTAAAAATTCATTGTTGATCAGTAGAGCTGTGTACCGGTACGCAGTACCGATACTGTACCGGTAAAATTGATTAGGTACAGGTCCAAAATACCTAATCCCTCAGTACCGGTACTGTACCTAAACAATTTCACACCAATTTTATGCCTATCTGTGACCTCAAATGTGTAAATAGCTGGTTAACAATGGGTCCCTGTGTAAGGACAGTGTGTTCATGAAAACAAAAACATATATATAGCCTATATTTTATCTGAGCATTCGCCATAAACAAAGAATAAACCTTAACTATCAAGTTTATTTATGTTTTTTTTGTTATTGAAGGAGTTCAGAAGAGCATATAAATTGGTCGAATTGTTCAGGTACAGGTTCAGGTCCGGACCTGTACCTAAACCTGTGTACCTGTACCTGTACCTGTACCTAAAATTTGTTTAGGTACACAGCTCTATTGATCAGTATTGGGGAGCTATGTATAATCTCCAAGCAGATCTTTTGGTGGCTATAAGACAGTATCGAATTGGCAAGTGGCAAGAAATTTAAAGCCAGTCACCATTACTATCCTCCATTATCCTCCCATTTTTTTCCGCTGCCTACTCCTGAAATTGTCCTACAGGGGAATTTGTTGTAGGATTTTTATGGTGTGCTTACTGCCGTTTCTCAAGCTTTTCTCCCATCTTACTCTTGCCTCGACAGTCACTCAAGGTTCACCCTAAAACTAGTAAAAGCTGCATCTACAACGTACATGTATCTCTACTGACGTCAGTTATCAGGCATAGCCAGTCACCATTACTAGAAACCCACACCCCGGCCCCATTTTCACCTTTCTACTAATGGTGCCTAAGGTTAAGAATTCAGTGAATCGTTGATCAGTATTGGGGAGCAAGGTGAGGGAATGTGTAATCTGCTAGCACATCTTTTTTGTCTTAGACAGTATCAAATTGGCAAGTGGCACTTGAAAGCTAGTATTTTTTTATTTTATTTATTCCAACATGTAATCACCAGACGTGGTGACGACACACTCAAGTTTCTTCAACTTATATTGATGCCGCCACCAACACAGGGGACAAATACATTACAGGACAATACTCATTTACACCTGAGCTAAGTGAGGAAAGTCGTGTAAAGTGCCTTTCCCAAGGGCACAAGATCGGTGGCATGTCAGGACTCGAACCCGGGACTCTTAGTTCCGAGTTGCGCACTCTGCCGCTACGCCACACGACCACACGACCCAAAGCTAGTATTAAAATGAGCATACAGAGAAAATTGTTTTAAGACTTTTATGGTGGGCTTATTACTGTTTCTCGAACTTTCTCCCATCTTAGTATTCTTACTCGACTTGCCTCGACTCAAGGTTCACCCTAAAAGCTACATCTATCTCTACTGATGTCAGTTATCAGGCACTGACACAGTCATCATTACTAGAAACCCACTCACTCAGTGAACCCCATTTTCACCTTTTTCCCCAAAGCCAGTCACCATCTTAATTTGTTGGTTCTCAGATTTTTTCATATCAAATATGAAGTAACAGGCCAAAAAAAAAAACAGGCCATGAAGTCAACATACCAGGCCGGTCCACACAATGAATTCTGAGATCAAATCACTGCAATGGAAAAACTATAACCACGCATAGGAAGGCAAGGACTTTCTTCAATTAGTGTTAGGGAAAAAACACGAGCATCTTGGAGTTCATTCAGAACCTGATTACTTAGGACTTTTTTTCGGGGGGGGGGGGGAAATCAGAAAATAATGGAGCGGGCAGTTGCAAGAACCAATCAATTAAATTGGTGTGGCCTAGTTCAGTCTGGGTTAAAAATTCATTGAATTGTTGATGAGGGATTGCCGAGTAAGGTGGAGGAAAGGTCAACGTCCCCACATACATGTAATATGCATCTGGCTAATGTCCAAGCCTGCCAGTTTTCTCAGTCCCAAAGGATGATATGCAGTTCAATGATTTCAGTTCAATGATTTTAGTGGTAAAGTATATGTAGCAGGGGAGTCCACTGTCTGCATGTGGCCATGGTTGACTTGTAAATGGTCAGTCATCATACATCAATCAAATAGCAATGATCCTCTTATTGCAGGACTCAAAATACTGGGTGCATGTGCACCTTAGCGCACCCAAATTTGAAGCTGTGGACCCAATTATCTTCTGTGGGTGCACCAGTGCACCCAAATATTTTGAAACAGGATTACATGTACATTATGTAAACATGTGAAATGTTTAGTAGTATACAGCACATTGACATCCAATAATTATTGTGTTTCTTGTTGTACATTTTGTACCTTTCTCTACAAATGAAGCATAGTTAAAGTTTTTGCTGAAATTCTGCTTAATATTTTATTTCATATGGTGCACCCAAAAAAATTTTGTGCACCTAATTTTTTAGGTTGGGTGCACCAGTGCACCTATTGCCAAAAATGAATTTTGAGCCCTGTATTGTGATGTTTGATGTTTCTATCATCGTGATACACATTTTGTACAGGCTGTGCAGACTTGCAGACTATTGTAAGTTTTTTTTTCACATCCTTCCTTCATACACACATAAATACATGTAGCTAAAGAGATAGGGATCTTCTCTTACCAGATCTAGAGATATAGATAATATGGTTATACTTATAGGTTACAATTTGTTCAATATTAAAGAGAACATATATTTTATGTGTGTGTGTGTGTGTGTGTGTGTGTGTGTGTGTGTGTGTGTCTGTGTGTGTGTGTGTGTGGGTGTGGGTGTGTGGGTGGGTGGGTGGGCAAAGAAATGCCACCTGCACATGCAGGTTAGTGCAGGTACAATTGGAGCTGTGCAGGTACTTAGTATTTCTGATGTCTACTTGCACCTAACCTTCATCAGTCCATTTATATTACATGTACTGTGGATTTTTATTTGCTGCATTGACTGTCACCACCTATGGTGCATAAAAGATTGGGTGCACAGCTCCAAATTTGGGTGCACTAATATAAGGTGCACATGCACCCAGTATTTTGAGCCCTGATGTGTTATTCCTCTTGACTGTGTGTCTCAGACAGCCTTGTCCTTACTAGTATGCTGGTGGACATACAGTCCCCTGCCCTGCTCCAGTGAACATGCCCGCTGTACCTGGCAGACAGTTCCAATTTTCCGCTTGCGTTGCTCATTTGGGTCCAACCTGAGTTCCATTTCCCTCGTGATGAATATTCTGTCGGCAGGACCACTGGGTGATTTCTTACACCATTCATCTTACACATACAGGGCTGGAAGTACTGGGTGAGCACGTCGGCAGAACGTACTGCACCTGCACGAAACCCGTAATGTATTGTACATATTGTATGTATATCACTTCGGCAGAATATCTCATATAATTAAGGGTCGTATTTGCTCATATAAGGTTAGCATTTCGACAGTAGTTTCCAAATGTTGTGTCTGAAAAGATATCCTCTGCAACAGTGAAAATTCTGATGCAACGTTGACCAAACATCCAACGAAAAACGCTAAAATCCAGGGTTCTGCGCAGGCGCAGTACGTTCTGCCGACGTACTTACTGGGTGCATGTGCACTTTAGTGCACCCAACATTGGAACTGCACCCAGTTTTTTTCTGTGGGTGCACCAGTGCACCCAAATATTTTTGTAGGTATTTTTGTACATATCAAATGTACAGTTAGTATATGCAGGATATTCTTGGCATAAAAGTGTCACAAAAATAATAAAATCTTTGTTGTAAGTTAGCCCCCATTTCAGATTCAAGCTCATATGAGCAGCAGTAAGATCTGTAATTAGGTTTTGTTTTATATGGTGCACCCAAAAAATTTTTGGGGGACCTAATATTTTAGGTTGGGTTCACCAGTGCACCTATTCCCAAAAATGAATTTTGAGCCCTGATATATCATTCAATGGGGAGTCCATTACATGTGCTAACGGATGTGGGTAAGGAGAAGATTACTGATGTGTCTTGCATAATGCAGTACATAACAGGTTTCTTGCAGTAACTGTTTCTCAGGTACAGCAAGTACTGTACTGTGGAGTTGACTACTATTTGCCTTGCATCTGATTTCTAATCTTGTGATAATATGATTATGATCAAGACTTAGAGACAGTGAAGAATTATCAGTAAATGTGTGCAGAATGTACTGCACCTGTATGAAACCCTGATTTTTCACGGTCTTCATTGAATGTTTGGTCAACGTTGCATCAGAATTTTGCCCATTGCAGATGATAACCCATTGCAGATGTTATCCTTTCTGACACAACATGGGGATACAACCTTAAAGGAGATGTTCTGCCGAAGTTTTGTGCACAATGTATAATTACAGGTTTTGTGCTTCAGGTACAATTATGAAATTCAATGTTCTGCCAAATGGCTGTTATGAGGTTTCCATATAAATTCAGAAGTTTAAAAAGGTTCTAGATCAGTGCCTAGTTCATTTTATTCAATTTTGCATATTCTGAATTGTCCAGGCGCCTGGGAAGACCACAGCCCCCGGGCGAGGCAGTCCCCGAGTCACGGCACCCAGCAAGAAGAAACTCGCCAGCCTGAAAAATGTCGACTCCAAACTGGCAAACATCATCCTCGATCAAGTCATTGACAGGTAGGCTTCCAGGCTTGGATTGTCTCTAAATCTTTTGTCTGTTTCGCATATCCAGTAAACTGCCTTTAGGCCACACCAATTTAATTTCTTGGTTAACGGATTTGCCGCTTCATTTTTTTCTGATTTGCAAATAAAAATAAAAATTCAGAATCAACTGCAAAATGCTCATATTTTGCCCTGAATAGTTGAAAAGAGTCCTTTGCTTACTACTTGTTACAGTCATTCCATCTTTCAATGCAATGGTATCATTAAAGTTCAAAATTCATTGTTTAAATTTTGAACCAGCCTGGTGTGTTGACTTCATGGCTCCTATCATAACATTTTGGGCCATAATTGGATGCCTAGGCCTGTTTTTATTTATTTATTTTTTTCGCCCGCCCACTCCATTATTTTTCTAGAAAAATCCGTTAACCAAGAAATTAAATTGGTGTGGCCTTAGGCGTAATACACACAGTTTTGTAAAGTACAAGCTGCGTAAGAACGTACTGTAAAGTTTGAACCTTACACACTGGCGAGGACCCCTCTTTTTGACAAGTGTTTATGTCAGGAGATATTAAGACATGGCAGTTTCGTGAACATCAAATGGATATCATTAGATTACATGTACAAAATGTACTAGTATATACCTGATGGTGCTAACTGGCTAGGGAAACTACATGTACATGTATTAATGACATAGATGGGAAATTTATAATTCTCTCACACAATAGTGAATTTCGTGAATACATTATGAATCTCCATTGGGATAGTTTCATCCTTGACAAATTTATTTGTTTATTTCAGTCGCATCAAAAATACATGGGATAAAATGTCTGCAGTAGGATGCGGTAATTTCAGTTAAAAGCACTAATTCTATATCGTAAATCTTGTACTTGGGCTCTTGGGAGTTACAGTATTATAATCAGAGACAAAGTTTATTGCAAATACATGAACAAGGGCTAATTGCAGGTACAAACTGTAAAATGTACGCAAAAAAATACATTCATTATGGTATAAGAGACTACATCCAACATTATACTAATTTCTGCAACATACATGTAAACATGGTACTAGTTTTCTTGGGTTCGACTTCCTCTTTTGAGGCAGTGCCAAAAACAAATTTATCCCCTTCTTCAATGATGTGTGGGTTCTTTAATTTTAGTACTAGTAGTAAAATTGTTTTCTTGTGGTAAGGGAAAAGTGGGAAAGTGATGTTGCATGATAACCTCTCCCTTCTGCACTGAGCTCTGAGCTCTCAGGAAGTATGTAGCCTCCGTAGCAGGCTTATAGAACTGGGGGTTTGGTGGTCTTCGGCTGTTTTCTGATTAGCCCAAAAAAACGGGTAATTCAACCAAGCTGGCTATGTTGTCTATATTGTCTATATGCAATCAGAAAATAGCACAATCATAAAAGCTCTCAAAGACCCTGAAGAACCCAAAACCCCCAGGTTTTGGCATGCCATGGAGGCAAGGAAGTATGGGGATTTACGCCATGTCTGTACATACCAAGACCATCCCATGAATTATGAAAATGAGCTTACATTGAAGAGCAATTACGAACCATGTAGCTGGAAATGGATCTCCGCTTTTCAGAGCGATAACAGGACTTGTCGTCTGTCATTCTTAATCTGTCACTATGTAATCCAACCTATCATGCCAGATAAGGCTGGCAATATCAGGCACAAAGCTGCAAATTGAAGATAATATTTCCAACTACAGCTGGCTTTGGAGCGGGTGGCAACGGCTGTATTGAACTTAAAGCCCACATTCACATGGATTTGCTGAACTTACAGCTCTAATATATGAATCAAAATTTAATATATAACAGATGGATGTATGTACAAGTTAAAGGGTAAAGTTACTGCTGCAGCTGGGCATTTGGCTATGGCATAATAACTGAGAGATTAACGATAAAAAAAGTCTTTCAAAGCCTAAGCATTAGCAGCTTTATCACAGACATTTAACTGGATAGATAGTGGTAAAGTATACAAGCTGTGTTAGACTTAGAGGGAAGTTAGAGGGTGCAGTTGTATCTACATGTAGGCATTTGTCTCTGCTCTAATGAACTAGAGAAACAAGCTTCTTTCAAAGCCAAAGCATATAGCGGCTTTAACAGAGACTGTTAACTGGGTAGACAGTGGTAAAGTATATAAGCTAGCTGTGGACACTGTCTAAAGTAATGGACTCTGACAGCTTATTCTGTTTTGAGTACAACGCAGCCCAGTGTGCTGTGGTGATTCTATTATACTGGAAGTCTGGTCATGACTGATTTCTCTGGGGAACAGCACATTGGCTTATATCATGGACATGTAGGCGAATACAAATGACTCGGTTAAAAGTCTGTAGGTAGATTTTGATATGCAATCTGTGCATGATCATTTGGGGGGGGGGCTTTATTTTCTGATCAAACGTAGATCGCTGCGACACACACATTAGAAGCTCCAGCCGACAACCCTAGTATTCCATGGATAGCATAGCGTTGGCGGCTGGAGCTTGTAATGTGTGCGTCCTACGTTTGATCAGAAAATGCCACTCAAGACATACACAATTCGCACTGACGACAGACTCGCAGGCAACCATACTGGATGCCTGAATTGCTCTGTGGTTACACAAAATATCATTAAAATGTGGGTATTATAGTTAAAACATTATTGCATATTATTACTCCGTGAAGGAGGTCAGGACCTCCGAGACGGAGTGTTGTGAACGGCTGGTTTTTCGTGTTCGCAGTCAAAACACTGGGTTCTCTTTGTGTAATCGGCACGCAATTTTATACGCCGTCTGCGGGCATGCCCGTGTTGATGCACGATGTGTATTTTTGCCGTTGCTGCTTTCGCGGTCAATGTAATATTGCAGACACACCCCTACAATTACGAGGCGAATTGGAATGGTCCAGAAAACGCGTTGTTTGGAATAGCAGTGGGGGGTGAACTTCATGCAGATACGGGGTGGTTTTGATAAGTGGTTCCAGATGTTTTTGCCCATGGTTAAGAGATGGCAAGTTTTTTGGAAAATGTTCGCAGCCAAAACGCATTCTTCCGTACGTCGCATTTCTGTGTAATTTTCGCATGTGGTGTTGCATTATGTCCGGGATGATGCACGTCTTTTATTTTTACCGTAGCTGTTTTGATATTGGAGTAAATGCATATTTTAGAAACATCCCTACTTTTTACAATCCTGTGGAATAGGCCGTAGGTTTAGGCAGTTGTCTGGTAGCAGAGGTTCTCCAAGCAGATATCCCGGGTATCTGACCGGCGGAAGTAACACTCGCGGTGCTAGCCGCGACTGTTGCTGGAATTTGGCCTGTTCCAGCCGCGCTTAATAAGTAACAGGCACGGTAAGACGGTGTCTTCGTTAATAGTGACACGACCATGATAGTCCGATCTTTATGTGAATGCAATGATTGTGTGTGTGTAATCAAAATGAACTCAAACTTGAACTTCGAACTTGTCTGCACAGTAGGTCTGGCGTTGACCCTTGGGATTGTTTTTGTTGAAATATATAAATCTTCACGGAGGATTGTCGCCTATGGCTTCTTGTTACATTGTTAAAATTTATAT